GAGCGCTGGGTTGCGAGGCTGCCCGCTGCCTCTGCGGCGCCGGTTCGATTCCTGGCTGCTCCCCAGCCACCGGAGGAGGGTCCCACATGGCGTGCAGACCTCTCCTGCCGCCCGCTGCTCCCCTCAGCAGTGTACTTCAGTCCTTCTGCCTGCTCTGCTCCCTGCTCTGGCTCTGGTGAATTCTCTCACCCTCCCGCGCTTCTGACTGTACCCAGTGCATGTACAAACAAAACAAACGAACAAACAAATAAATAAAAAAAAAAAAATATTTGGTTATGGAGCACATAGTGATTCATGTACCATCAAAACATTTTTAATGTTTGGGCCTCCCCGGTGCCACAGCAGTTGAGCACTGGTTGCGAAGCTGCCTGCAGCCTCTGCAGTGCTAGTTCGATCCCTGGCCGCAGGGCGAGGGACCCACATGGCGCGCAGACCTCTCCTGCTGCCCACTGCTCCCCTTAGCAGTGTACTTCGGTCCTTCTGCCTGTTCTGCTCCTTGCTCTGGCTCTGGTGAATTCTCTCATCCTCCCGCGCTTCTGACTGTACCCAGTGCTTGTATAAATAAATAAATCTTAAAAAAAAAAATTAATGTTTTCTAATTAAATTATTATATAATTTTTGATGTGTTGTTTCATAGTATCTGCAATTCTTTGTCATGCATTTACTTTTCTAAAATCTTCTAGAACCTCTTGCCATGTTTTCTGAACCACATCTCTGTATTATCTTCCAACTCTCAAGTCTAACTCTCAAGTCTATCTTCCAACTCTTCTAACTCTCTAACATATATTGAATAAATACTAGCCTATTTTTCTTTATTTTTACATTTTAAAATGACAGGTTTATTGGGAAAAGAGAAGTACCTGAATAGTCACAGGTGCTAGGAGAGCTGCTAGCCTACTTTTCATTTTTAATCTCTTCTATACTCTCTCTGCCTTTAAAGTGCATACACTCCCTGATCCTGAAATTTATTTATTGCTTTTCTGTTCCTGCCCTCCAAAATGCCATCCTTTTATGCATTCTTTCATTCTGGTTTCTATCCACATATACTGCCTCAATTTCCTCACTACTCATTGACATGGATACAGAGGAAGATTGGGAATAGTTTGTGAATGTTGTGGACAAAAAACAATCACAACTAATTTTGGACTAGCTATGAGAGCCCCATGGGAGTACTCATAGTCTGTCCCCACAAAAAGGACAGACTTGTATATAGAATGGGACTATACACGAGTACAGGAGGCTTCCTCATTCACATAGGAAAAGCTGTAACAGTTAACAAGCTTTCTGAAATAGAGAAAGCTAATCAGTGGAAAGCAAGGGACTTACGGAATGCCTACAATTAAAGAAGAGGAGGAGGACAATGGGGTATCATGTGGTTAGAGGGACACATAAAACCTATAAGTGGCTGCCTTGTTTAGAATTCCTTAACATTAGGATGTTTGATTCAAAAAAGTTCACAAAACCTTTCTCCCCCTATCCAAGACCACTTATTGGCAAACTTGTCTTTTTACTTGTTTTGTAGACTTTTCTTACTCTTCTCTTTGTCTTTGGATATGGTAAAGCCTCCAAGAACCCCATAGCTTCTCCTTTACTCACTTATTTTCTTCATTTTCCACCTACTTTCCCTTCATTAATTAATCCCTTCTCCCTGCTCAATGGTAAAATGACTATTTAATAGCTAGAGAGAAAAGAAGATTGCTTTTTCTTTTTTTTTAAGATTTATTTATGCCTTAAAGAACTGGGGTACAGGCCAGAGGTGTGGGGGGGGAGAGGGTTCACCAGAGACAAAGTGGGAAACAGAACAGGCAGACTGGCTGCTGAGGGGAGCAGTGGGCAAGACAGGAGAGATCTGCTGTGCCATGTGGGTAGCTCCCTGTCTGGCTGGGGATTGAACTCATGCTGCAGAGGCCGCGGATAGCTTAACAGTGCTGTGACTAACCCCTTTTCAAGTCCTGCACCTGTGCACAAACCTCCCCTCCCTTCCCCTCCCCACCCTCCTCCCCCCTTCTACTCCCCCTCCCCCCGCCCCATACACTCACAGAGACACTTAGAATAAGGCACAGAACCACCATGGCTCTACAACCAAGCATGCAGTTACATAGAAAGATAGATAATCTGGTGAAAGAGACTAAATGAATGGTAGGAAATGAATAGAATGAGATGTAAGTGACCACAAACCACTGATAGTTTATTCGAAAGATTGTCTTAAAAGTAGCTTGGTCAAAATGTCTTATTAAAATATCTGATCTGGGCCTCCCCGGTGGCGCAGCGGTTGAGTGCTGGGTTGCGAAGCTGCCTGCAGCCTCTGCAGTGCCAGTTTGATCCCCGACTGCTCCCCGGCCACTGGAGGAGGGTCCCACATGGCGCGCAGACCTCTCCTGCCGCCCGCTGCTCCCCTCAGCAGTGTACTTCGGTCCTTCTGCCTGCTCTGCTCCCAGCTCTAGGTCTGGTGAATTCTCTCACCCTCCCGCACTTCTGACTGTACCCAGTGCTTGTATGAATGAATGAATGAATAAATAAATAAATAAATAAATAAATAAATAAATAAATAAATAAATTATTTAAAAAAATATATCTATCATCTTTTTCCTTTTGTTTTAGATGTTAGGTACTTTCAATTTAAAAATTCCCTTCTCCTGAATAGGTTGGATGCCTGGATGCCTTTCTTGCCAGCTTGTTTATACAGTTGTCCTATTTTCTATTTCTGGTGATCAATGACAATTATCTTTTTGTCTCTCTATCCTAAGATCTAACACACTGTTTCATGCTCAGTATTCATGCTCAGTATTTCATGCTCAGTATTTTTAATCTTCATTGGGATGGTTATCTGTCTGATGTTTAGGTTAATGAAGTAATTACGACCATATCCTGCATTAATTTTTATTCCCAGAACCATAAAAGACATTAGTAATGGTGATTCCTTGGCGTTCTCTTGCTTTCCTTGGTATAAGATTGTGAATTAAAGTTGGTCTAATTTAAAGTAAAACAACATAGGCTCTTCCTGTTGCTCAGTGGGAACCAAAACAGCCACTACTGCTTATTATGAGAAAACAGCATCTTTTCTAACCTGATTTAAGGCAGTGGTTTTCCAGCTGTCTTTCCAAGAAAGACTATTATTTGACAAGCTGGCCTAAAAATCTCCTCATTTAAGCGGGAAAGGTAATAAAGAATATTCTCTCCCTTTTAAGCTTTTCCTCTCATTTTTTTTCATAAATCTATTGTCAACTTGTTCCTTTTTGCCAGAATCTGATGTCAATTAGGATTTAATTTAGTGCAAAATTTAGATATTTAGGTACCAATTTGAATAAATCAATATTACCAGGAACTATGCATCAAAAAAAAGCTTCTGCCGTGCCCACTGCTCCCTTCAGCAGTGTATTTCATCAGTCTTTCTGTTCTGTTCTCTGCTCTGTCTCTGGTGAATTCTCTCGCCTTCCCGCGCTTCTGACTGTACCCAGTGCTTGTATAAATAAATAAATAAATCTTTAAAAAACAAAACAAAACAAAACAAAAACTGTTTCTCTTACCTAGGACTGGAGGGAGGGACAAGTTGGGCATGACTGCTTAACGATTTCCTTTGGCGGTGATGAAAATGTTTCGTAACTAGATACTGGTGATGGTTGTACAATATTGTGAATGTACATTATACATGTTATAATGGCTAATTTTATGTTACATGAATTCTGTTTAATATTATAAAACTACCATATCCTAACTGGTTTATTCTGTGCCAATGTATCTATGAATTTTCAAAATGTATGCTATAACTCAGAGGATAATTATCTTCCTGTAGCTAATACTGTCATACAATTACTCTTTAGAGTTTTTACACTTAGAGAGTGAAAATGAACACTCATTGGTTAAATGCTGAAATATCAAGAATAAACTAGGTTTATCTCCGGCAAAGGGGAAACATATTACCTAAAGCTAACACTAGATGCTTACATGTACAAGCTCACTACCTCTCCTGCAATCTGTCTACATCATTAGATCCAGTGTCTACTTAAAAGGATTTCTCAGAACTCATATGATAGAATTTGAAAACCAATCTGTATGCAGTTGATAGAAACTTTTCCCATGGAGGTAAAAAAGATATATTTTAGACTTTAAAAAGTAAAATCCTTATTGAATTAAAAAGCAGCTTAGAGGGCCTCCCCGGTGGTGCAGCGGTTGAGCGCTGGGCTGCGAAGCTGCCCGCAGCCTCCGCAGCGCCGGTTCTATCCCCGGCCACCGGAGGAGGGTCCCATATGGCGCTCAGACCTCTCCTGCCGCCCACTGCTCCCCTCAGCAGTGTACTTCGGTCCTTCTGCCTGCTCTGCTCCCCGCTCTGGCTCTGGTGAATTCTCTCACCCTCCCGCACTTCTGACTGTGCCCAGTGCTTGTATAAATAAATAAATAAATAAATCTTTTAAAAAAAAAAAAAAGCAGCTTAGAATCGAATAAAGACTTTTTTCTTTAAAGCAAGGAAACTTTTAAATCAGTGTTCATTAAATCCTGTTTCCTCTCCTGTTTGAGTAGATCTTATCAGCCATTGACCCAAACATTTGGGTAGGTTGGTCTGTGCATGTGATCGTGTATTCATACACACACAGACTACAATATTTTTCTATGATACCATCAATCTCAATTTCTGTAGTCAAATACTGTCAGACTAGTATGGGGAAACCTAATATATTTAAGTTAATGAAAGGTGGAAATTGATTAATATGCTTACTTTCAAACTTCTGGCCAATATTTTTCTCCAAGATGTCTTCCACTCTCAAACATACCCTAATTTTATCAGATAGTGCTTTTGTTATGTATCAGAACGTTTCTGCTGGCTTTCTCTGTAAATTGATTACTAAGCTCATTGATTTTCAGATGTGTATTCATTGTATTCTTTTTTTTTCTGTTAAGCCAGTGTCTTAATGCAGTATCTTCTGTTATTGTTAACATAAAATAGTGTTACATACCCCCCCCACAAATGTAGACTCTAATATGTATCTTAACTATTTCTCTAGAACTGTCAAGTAATCCACCTCTAGCTACCATCCTTATTCCTCCTCATGCGAGGATTCAAGCAGCTGCTTCAACCCCTACAAATGCCACAGCAGCCTCAGGTAAGAAAAGTCTCTTCTATAAAAACACATTGTCTTGTTTTAAGTCATGATTTACCTTCATCTTATTTCATCTGATGAATGTGAACATTGTATACTTTCCAAGTATCAAAAACAGCACAACCAAATAAATAAATGTGAATAAAATGTTGCTTTACTTCCAAAAAGCATAAAAGACCTCATAGTTTTAAGATGTAAATGCCTTATTATAATGTTACATTGTGTTACCTTAGTTATTATTTTAAAAGTCATACTTTCCATATAATTTCTTGATCAATATTTGTCAAATGAGGTAGCAGAAAGTAGTGTATATAAATGTAATGTTATTGACTATAACTCACTTTAGTTCCAGTACCCCGAAATGTAAATTATACTAGTATACTAGAGAGGCAAATTTTTGAGAAACATAAAATACAGATTGGTGTAATTTAATCATTTGAAAGATCTGAAACTGGAAAGCACATACATTGAAGATTTAGATCTGAATGTAACTAAAACTTCTCTAGCCATAAAAAAATTTAAAAGTGTGTACAGAATCCCAGATTAATGCTCAGGTGTACTGCTGACTCCATAGCCAGCTAATAGTGGGGCCTAAATCAGTGAGTATTACTGTCATTACTGATGTTCTGAAAATATTCAACCCTTGAGTGAATTGAAGGTCTTCCAAAGAATGACTGGTTGCTGTATACAATGAATTTATAAATATAATAGGTAGCACAGTCGGGTTCCAAATTTGGTGCCCTTTTATTCCCTTTACAAAAAACAGATGTTAAAACCCGACTTTATTTTCATTAAATCATCTATTAAACTCATTGAACTGAGTTAAATCAGACCTATTTTTGCTTAAGGGCATTTATGTTGCAGGAGATAAAACCTTTCATTACTAGTTCCTATCATTCACCAGTAAGGTCAAAATCCATCTCTTTTTGTCTGACATAGAGTTCTTTGTTCCTGTCTAGTTTTTTATTTTTTAGAACATTGCTAATAAAGATTAAAAACATGTTCTTGTTCATGTCCATCCTTTGTTCCAGAAAGTATGGAAGGAAAGGTATATTTTATAGTTCTGGTTCCATCAGCACATGCTATCTTAAGAAATTTGGACTTTGTTAGTGTCTTACTAAGTTTCTCACTGCAAAATGAGCAGCATTGCTCCTCTAGAGTAATATTATAAAAATAAAATATGTACTGAAATGTGTTTTAAAACTTTTAATGTAATAAATTTCTTTTAAAACTATGACTTATTAAACAAAGAATTGTTGAGATGAGCTATTAAGAAATGTAATAAATAACTGGGGTTTGATTACAGTGGTTATTCAAAACATGAAATAGACCTAAACCCTGAACTAATGCATTTATTTGTTGAACCAATTTCCATAAATATTATTAGAATTGCTTGAGACTGAATAAAAAGATGAATTATTGATTGGTAAATTTTGGGTAATTTTAAATAAGGATTTGGCAATTTGCATTATAATCTTTAGTAAGGCATTAAAATACATATGCTCTCTATTATCTTTCTTAGCTTAACCTTTCCTTATCCACAAAACAGGAAGAATAAATGCCAACAGCATACAGTTGTAAACAGTAAGATATAAAGTATAGAAAGTGCTTAGTTAGCATTTTGCCTCGTTGCCTGGTAGGCCTTCAGTGAAAGGAAACTGCTATAATATTTTTACTATTGTTATTGCCAAGTGAGGACAGATCCAGACATATTAAAAGCCAGTCATGTGGAAGGCAGGGTTGACATTCATCCATTTATGAAAAAATAAACTAGGACTTTCCTCACCTGGATAAATGGATACCCATCTTTCCAGTGAGGGAATGTCTGTAGACACAGCTTGAGCTTTTTTCATAAAACATTTCTGGGTCTGCTTCAGGATGCAAAGAATAAAGTATTAATCTACAAAGCTCCAGACCCTAAAGATCTGATTCTGAAAATTTTCAGATTTAAAATTTTCAAAATCAGAATATTTCATTCCTCATGCTGTGGCTAAAGCCATAGCACCACAATGTAATATCCCAGCATGGCCTTGGATGAATTGATTGTAATATGTACCTCTAAATTACTAAATAATTAACTTACTAAATAATTAATGTACCTCTAAATTACTAAATATAAGTTAAATTAATGGAGACTATGTATAAAAACAGTTTAGAACTGGGACCATTTTTGGGTCTCCGATGGTGGCCTAGGGAGCTATCAGCGCTGTCACTGCTATAGCCTGAGTTCAATCCCTGGCCAGGGAGCTAACCTCACATATGACACAGCAGACCTCTCCTGTCTCCCCTATTGCTCCCCTTAGCAGTGTATTTCAGTAAATCCTAAATCTGCCTGTTCTGTTCCCCACTCTGTTTCTGGTGAGTCCTCACCCCCTACACTTCTGGCCTATACCACAGTTCTTCTATGCAAAAAAACAAACAAAAAAAACCCCAAAAAACTGGGACCACTTTTAGTTAGGACAAAACCATGCAACAAGAAGCAGAATACCTATTTTCATAGTCTGAGAATGTGTGTCTGGTCATCTAAAAATGATTTGACTCACTCAGGTACAAATTCAGAAGAGAAGCATAACACTGAAATTATCATCTGACCTGTTAAAATACCATTTCTACTGATGCTCAGCACCATTATGAGGTTCTTTCAAACATTTTTGTGTTCTGAATAAGCTCATCGAACCCAGAGGCACCTAGATGACTGCCTTTGAAGCTTTTTATGTTGTTTATAGCTGACTTAAAGAAGAGTGGAGTTTTCCAGCATTTATGTTCTCTGGAAGCAAAGCTAAATCAGTAGATGGGATAAAAGCAGAAGAATGAGGCAGATTAATGAATATGCCATTAATCATAGTCAGTCTTCTACCTTTGGATTTTAGTCAGTTTATCTTGGCTTTCAGATACTAGAGCTTCTTAAATTTTAAATGCATTGTGAACAGACATCTTAGATTTATTACCTATATTGTTGCTACTGGAAAAGCAAAGAAAATAGGTTTTTCTTACCCAGACTATAACCTAAAGGCCATATTGAGATTACTCTAGAAATAATGTCGTTAACTATTATTCTATAGCCTTTTTAAAGAACTTTGATCAGGACAAATACACTTTACTCACCTTCCTTGAAAATGGTAAAGATAGTGCATCTATCAAGTTTGATAGTATTAATACCAAGGACTAATAACTTTGCAAATGTTTTAAATATTCTTCTGTTATTTTTGAGGTTCAGGTAGTGACTGCAGCTGACTATTAATAAAGACTTGTTAAAAAGTATTAGGATGTATAACGAGGGTTTTTTCCCTCAAAAACTTTTACTTTTTTAAAAAGAAAAAACAAAAGAAACACCTTCCACCATCCATTATACCCCCTTAACCCTTACTCCCATTCACACCCCCCACCCTCAATTCAGTAATCATATCCAGTAATTTGTTTTTATTTTGTTTTTCACATTGTTTCCTTATATTTTACATATAAGTGAAACCCATCCAATACTTATCTTTCTCACATACTTTTAAAGTCGTTTTTAGAATACCTCATTATCTGGGAATTAGGTGATCATTGCTAACTGATGTGAGAAACTCTTGAAAATTACATGTGTTACTGTCAGTCCATAAAATGTAAGAGTGTATATGTGTGTATTCTGATCTTTCTCCACATCCACCATTCCACTTGGGAGTCCATTCACCTACGCTATCTAAAGTAACAAGCCTTAAGAGATAGTTTAACTAATCAAATATGGACCACTTAGGAGATCATTTGGTCTAATATCAGATGAGTTCAGTATGACATGGTGGGAATTTGATCTAGTAATTTTCTCTCATGTTTTTTGTATATCAGTCTTCTGGGTACAGTTTTTTTCATTGCAGTAGTTCTATTAAAATAAATTTTTAAACTACTAATTTCAGTTCACCTCTCGTTATCTACTGAGAACTGGTCATCTCATATGTAAATATATTAAGTAGCTAGAAGCTCATCACTGCAAATGTCAGTCTGTTAGAAAGTTTTTCCCCTTTTTGCCCTGAAATTTATCCCCTATGTTCCTTCTACTCAGTGATGCTACTCTGGGGTTATACAGACCCAATCTAATCCTTATACACCCAATCCTTCAAATTTTTTTTTTTTCCAATCCTTCAAATTTTAGTGGTGGCTAATGTGCCCTCCATAAATTCTAATCCAAGATACATTCAAAAGTGTTAGGTGTTAGGTTTTCTATGCAATTTTATATCTAGACATCTATCTGTACAATAGATTATATAGATACATATATTTATATATTGCACATTTCATAAAACAAATTTTTTGCCTCTATCATAGAAACTAAAAATATGTCATATTGGACAAACATACCTAGAGAGTTTTGCTGATACTGAAATTACCGATAATGTAAATTAAGTGGGATTAGGCGAGGTTTACTTAAGTTATTATTCTGGTCATCTCTAAGTGATTGGTTATTCCTTTTGTTTGCTTAGCTACAGACCAACCTTAAATACTCAGTTATATAATAATGTTATTTTAAAAAAACTCTGTAAGATACTTTGGTGTTGTCCAGAAAACTTATAGGTATTTTTCCATCAAAAAGGGGTATCAAAAATGCAAATTAAAAATTTTTTAAGGCAGGGAAATATATGGTGCCTACATATTTGTGAACTGAATTTCTGTAATCCATTTTAGAATTTGTTTATTGAACTATAGATTCTGGGTTTAAAAACATTTAAAATGTGTAGCTTGCCCTCACCTTCCTTGGGCTGCATTTTGTTTATTAGGATTTTTGTTATATCCTTTCCAGGTTGAAAACCCTTCTAACAGAAAAGGGAATCATGATAGGAGTTGGACAAGGTCTGTCTTCTCTGTCTTTTTACCTGCTCAGGGGGCTTAACTGTTTTTTGATCTTGCTTTGAAAACCTTTTGCTGATACCATATTTAAGCCAAACCTGGCCTGTTAACAGATTTACATTGTTATTTTCTATTCTTCCACAGATGTGTGCCCTTAAAGTTACGTATTTTTTTTTAAATTA